TTATATTCATATGATACAAATTAAATAAATCATATTTTCAAATAGGTTTTTGTCATTTATGAGTGTATTAATTTTCTTTTTAATAAAATTTTATAAAATATAAAAATAAATATTATTTTTAATACAATACTACATAAATGATTTAATTAGATACATAATAAACTTAAAGTTAATTTATATATTTTTATATAAATTATTTATAAAAATTTATAATTAATATACCTTAATTTTATTTTCTTAGTTTAGAAAATTCCTTTAAAATATAGGATATTTTTCCCATAATAAAGAGAGGGTATTTTCAATAATTAATACTCCAATGTAAAGTAAACCCTCTGCTATAAAATCTCAATTCTAGACTGGGCTGGGCTTTACTTGGGCTAACAAACCTAAAAGAACCACTCCCAAAAATTTAAAAAAAAAAAAAAAAGAAGTGGGACCCGGACGAATTCTTTTAGGATTTATATAAAATATAAAACGAGCTCTAACGGCTACTTCCCTTCTTTCAAATTGAAACGCCAAAACAAAAAAGCGAAGGGGGCAGAAAACAGCGAGGGAGATATCTTTTTACTTTTACAGTTCAGGACAACAAAAAAAAAAAAACCATCCATCGTCTTCCTCCCACCGAAACCCTAACCCTAAATCTCACCACTAAACCTTCGAATCGTCACATTTCTAGGGCATTTCCTTCTTCTTGTTTTGGAAAATTGTGGTTCCTAAATCTCTATCGATCTAGGGTCTCCAGAAAGGCGCTTTCTGCTCACCGCCCTCAAGATTTCGGTTCTTTCACAATCAAATCAGGAGGAAGAGAAAGGTAAAACCATGGATCTTCCTCGAGAAGTCGACGATTACATAAAGGAAACGATTGATGACTCATTAGATCTCCCAATCTCGGCAAGCACTCTGAAATCAAAGCTCCGTGCCACCGAAGAAGTCCAACGGCGCCTCCGTGAGCAGTACTTACTTCTTCTCTCCAAATTGAAAGAAAAGGATGAAATCATAGATCGGGCTAGGGTATGGAAGATATACATATTCCTCAGTTCCTGTGTGTGTGTGTTTGTATGTAACAATGAATTGAAATTTTATGTTGGTTTGGGTGTTTTCGTTTAGGCGGAAGCCAGTTTGAATGCACAAGCGATAAAGAAATTTGTTGAGGAGAATCAGAAATTGGCAGCGGAGTGTGCAAATTTGTTGAATCAGTGTAAAAAGTGGGAAAAGGAGTGTTCCTTGTACGATCATGATCGTGAGGCATTAATGGATTTTGGGAATGAGGCCGATGAGAGGGCGAAGGAAGCTGAGATTAGAGTTCAGGAGTTGAAGGAGGAGTTGAGGAGGTTGAGAGATGAACTAAGATTCTACAAGCACGAGTATGAAACCAGTGTGGTAAATTTTGCTCACTCTCTCTTTCCGGATTTGAAGTTTTGTTTAAAGTTCAAAGCTTTTTTTGATATTCATAGAATGCTTGCTATTAATAAATAATTTTGTAAAAATCGAGAATTTGATAACATGGGACATTTTAAGCTTCGATTCAATTGTTGAGATGCATTATTTCTCATTTTTCTTATCAAAATAATTTGAAACTGATGAACTGTTTTTATAATTTTTCATGAGAGAATAGCATTTATAAGCTACTTTGCACAACAACAAAGCAGTGTTTTCACATTATTTTACTTGGTTCAAATGGATCTAAAGAGGGGGAAATATCCCTAGTTCCATTGTGATTTATAGGATACATTGACATAGAGTTGTTTCCTTAACCTTGATAGAGTATCTTCTCTTTAAAAAGTTAGTGCTTCCCTATTGAATATGTGGATTACTTTAACCATGGTATGGACTGTGTGATTTTTGTATGATTTGCTTTCAATTTCTGCTTTTATTCAGTGTTGCCTTATTGAAATAATTTGGAAGTTGGAACTGAGTTAAATTCAGTTAGTAATGATTTTCTATCCATTAAGAAAACCTGGCATCACCTGTACTCTTACGAATCATATTATATTTCTTAGCTGACAAGTTTATACTTTTGTTTTGCCTGAAAGGATGGTATATCCTCTGTTAGTACACCCTTGGAAGAGAATTTACTTGAGTCCATTCTATCAACATTGATTACTAAGGATGAAGTTGTATCTGGACATGCATTTTGGGAGGCAAATGGTTCTCATGAATCATGTCAAAGGTTGCTGAATATGTGGAATAGGTCAGCATTTTCTCCTCTTTTCTCCATATTACTTTTGCTTTTGCTAGTTGTTTAATGGAGGACAGTGCTATACTTTGCAGCTTGAGGCCATCAACTAAAAAAGTTTTTGCACTGGTTGCTAAAGTAAAGACCCTTGAGAAAGACAAGGAACATCTTCAGAGAAACAAGGAACATCTTAGGATGAACCTTGATAAAGCTGAGGAGGAGGTAAGAGGGATTCTAGACAGTCAGTACTTGTTAAATTTGTATTGCCCTTTTTATAACCTAATAAATATACTTTTATCCATATAGGTAAAAGTGTTATTTGAAGAAAACAATATATTGAATGAGGAAAACAAAAGATTATTGAGGCAACACCACAAAGACATAAACCATCATGGTTCTGGAGGGAAGAACACTGGCAGTGCATCTGCAAAGGTAAGGAAGGACTAAGAAGTTCTGTCTTTTACCACACATCTATGTGCTTTTTCATTCAAGAGGTAATTAAGCTAATGCTATTATTTTGCTTGACTTTCTTGTAGTCAAACAAGCGAAAGTCAAGTCCCAAGATGAGCAGCAGCCCAATTGAGAAAAAGATTGATTTTGGTGATGTTGAGTCAGTGAGGCAACCCCTATCCCCCTTGCGATATAACTCACCTGACTCAGGAATGCACAAGAAGTAATGATACCTTATGATGATAAGATCTAACTTCTTTCCTTCTCCATTGGCTATACTTGACCTCATGAATGGTGTTATGAGTGGATTGAGAGATTGCTTTCTGAAGCTTACAATATTGTTTTCCCTTTGTAAGAAAATCTCTTGCTTTCTAGGAGGAAGAAGGAATTCCATTGTTTTTCAGTTTTTTTTTTTTTTTGTTTCCATAGGATTGTCAGGATTGATCTGATGCAATGGGATGGAAGAGAATATTGTTCTAACAAAGCACTGATGAAAATTTTAGAAATTTGACTAGTTTTCTGTTCCTGTCAATCTTTTACTAATGTGTTATAACAATCTGATCTGATGCCATAATACTTCCCAATTGGAGACAAAGGTCTTTTGTCGATTCGATTTGTTTTAACTCCTTTTTTTCTCACTCGGTCGAAAATGCTCCATCTGGATTCTGTCTTTTTTAATCTGTTGCAAAGGTTGAGCTCTCTCAATAGCTTGAGCTGGTCACTTCCTTGAGCCCTTGCTGCTTGCATTTGTCCCTTCAAGTCTCTCTTCCGTCGATAGGGGAGAGCAAATGAAGTGTATAAGATGCAAATACCCTTTAGTTATAATATCCCCTTATTAAGGAAAGCATTCCTCATGCTGGAAGAGCTAGGCTAGCATCCAACTTAGAAGATGTTTGGTTCAGTTTCTAAGCTTTTAGTTTTTTTATATTATTTATATTTTAAAATTTAAATGTTTTTTTTAAAAGTTTATATTTTAAAATTTTTTTTAACCTTAAAAAAGCTTCAAATAATAAAAATTTAAAAATTTTAAATCCAAACTTTTTATAAATTCATTTTTTACTTCATTTTTACGCATTTTTTACTCACTTTTTTCTATTTCTAAAAGTAATTGTTAAATTTTTTTTAATAAAAATTTAAACTTATCATTCATAAACAGTATAAAAAAATTAAAAACTTTTACAAATTAATCCAAACATGCTCTTAGTGCCATTAGCCTAGAGTATTCAACTATTCAAGGAAACCCAGTGTAGTCTAAAACTCATGGAAGAAGCATAGCAGTGCCATCCCCGATAACGGATGCGTTTGACATTATTGTAAAGTGTTGTTGCTGTGGATATGATTAAAAATTATTTTGATGTTTAATTATTTATTTTTTTAAAAAATATTATAGATGAAATATAATAAATTTTATTAATTATTAATTAATTTTAAAAAAATATTATAAAATATATAATTATTAAAATATATAATGAATATGTCTTTCTAATTGCTTAAACGAATTTCCCATCACGATTTTTTTGGACATAGGATGGGTATCTTTGTTCATTTATTTATTTACTTATTTATTTTTAGGAAATGGACGATATTTTCAATTCAAAAAACGACGTCGTTTTTGTCTGTAATCACCTGAGTGGTTCCTTATCCAAAAACATAGAACAGAAGATATCTTTGTTGAGACTCGGAACCGCTCCCTGCTCAGCTCATGGCTCAGGTTCGTCTTCCCCGTCAATCTCCTCTCCTTTCTCTCCAAAACCTTCATAGTCAATCCAGTCGCCACCACCGCAACAGTACCATCTCTTTCTTCTGCTCTCCTCTGTCTCACACTCTCAGTTATACTTTTCCCATCAAAGCTCGAAATTTTAGTTGTTTCGTTGTACATTTCTCCACCACTACCCAAAACCCAGTTGTGCAGCTCCAATCAGAAGGTGAAACGCAAGAACAGGAGGAGTTTTCTCGAACCAGATTGATTGCCCAGAACGTCCCTTGGACTTGTACCCCGGAAGACATCCGTTCTTTGTTTGAGAAGCATGGCTCAGTACTAGATGTTGAGGTTATCATAAACCCTACTTTTTTAGTCACTGTCTCTTTGTTTTGAAGTTAAGTTGTTGTTTGCATTTGGGTTTCGATATTTGTTTGGTATATTCATGTGGGTTTATGCAATTTTTGATTCATTGGGTGCAGCTCTCAATGTATAACAAGACTAATAACAGGGGTTTGGCGTTTGTTACCATGGGTTCACCTGAGGAGGCTCTTGAGGCTCTCACTAAGCTCAACTTGTCTGTAAGCATGTTTCATATTTTGCTTGATAGTTGGCTTTCACTATTTTGCTGATACTTTATGTTGTTAATTGTGTTTTGAATTAAAATAGCAAAACATAATCAATTCAAGATGATATTAATTGATTACCTATGTTCATGGCCAAAAAAAAAAA